CCCAAGCCTGCCTTCTAGGAGATATCGATCCAGACGCTGGGGTAAACATGCCGGCCGGCTGGTAAAACTCAAAGCTCTGCGTGGTCAAGGTTTCCACAGCCAGCTTCCTACGTGCCCGGACCAGGGAAAATATGGGTGTTGTCTACCGGCCCGGCGCTTGGACCGTCCTGCAGGTGCTGTTTTTGAAAATCTGCAACCGTTGGCGCGCACCACCCCCACCATGGCTGGTTCTGTGTCGGACCAGATCAGGACGTGCCTCATCAACACAAGGTCTGTTGCCAACAAGACTTTTATCCTAAATGACTTTTTAAAAGACGAGGGACTAGATTTTCTTTTTCTCACTGAATCCTGGTTGCCTTTGGGTGATTCAAGCGCCTTGGTGGAACTTTTACCTCCGGACTGTCTGTGTTTTAATGCCCCGCGGCCATCAGGTCGGCGGGGTGGTGGAATATTAACTGTATTTAAATCAAACTTCTCCTGTAAACAGTTGTCCACCCTCATGTCCTGCTCCAGTTTTGAGCTGAGTGCTTTTGAACTCGGACATTCTCCTCCCGTTCTGTGCGCGATTGTTTATCGCCCCCCTTGTTCCAAGGACTTCATAAGTGAATTCTCTGATTTTCTGGCTTACATCACACCAAGATATGATCACTTTATTATCGTTGGTGACTTTAACATTCACGTCTGTTGTCAGGAGAAGCCGTTAGTGAAGGACTTCCTTGATTTGTTGGACTCATTTAATTTAATTCAACATGTAAATGCTCCCACCCAACAACACGGTCACACTCTGGATCTCATTTTAACACGTGATGTCTCTGTTTGTAATTTGGTAATCGGTGACAACGTTCTCTCAGACCACATGCCTGTCTTGTTTGATATCATCCCGCCTTGTCCTATTGCTAAGTCATGTGATTCTGCTCGTACTTCACACGCCATCAACCGTTTCACTGCTGCACGTTTTACTGATGCTTTTAGCTCTGAGAGGATCGACCAGCTCTCAGTGTCTCTCTCCACCGAGGAGCTAACCTCTCAGCTTAACTCTGTTTGCTTAAATATTCTGGACCGTGTTGCTCCCGTTAAAACCAGGAAAACAAAACTTTTATCAGAACCATGGCTTAATGACGTCACTCAAGCCGTTAGACAGCAGTGTAGGAGAGCAGAACGCAGGTGGAGGAAAGACAGGCTGCAGGTTTCTTTTCAAATCCTAAAGGAGAGTTGGCGTCATTATCAGAAGGCAGTTAAAGCCGCCAAATCGAAGTTCTTTTCTGCAATAATTGCCTCAAACTCCCACAACCCCCGAGCCCTTTTTTCCACCCTGAACTCAGTTCTACACCTCAGTGAACCTTCACCTCTAGAAGCCTCAACTGAGCTGTGTGAAAACTTCCTCCATTTCTTTTCTGAAAAAGTTGCAAACACCCGGGCACTCATTTCTCCATCTGCTCATGATCCGTCCATCCCATCTTATTGTGTTGCTGTTCTGGACCACTTCGAGCCCATCTCTCTGTCTTCCCTGGAGCAGGTCATGTGCGGCATGAAGCCATCTGGCTCCCCTTTTGACGTTGTCCCCCCTCGACTCCTTAAGGAGCTTCTTCCTGTTCTGGGCCCTCCTGTTCTTGGCATTGTGAACAGCAGCTTAGCCTCAGGTGTGGTGCCAATAACTTTTAAACATGCTGCTGTCCAACCTCTCCTGAAAAAACCTAGCCTTGACCCCTCAGTCATGTCCAACTTCCGGCCTGCCTCCAGACTCCCATTTGTCGCTAAACTGCTGGAAAAAATAGTGGAGTCCCAGCTGAAATACTTTCTAGAGGATAATGCCATCTTAGAGCTATTCCAGTCTGGCTTTAAACCTCTCCACAGCACTGAAACTGCTCTACTCAAGGTTTTTAACGACATTCTCCTATTCACAGACGCTGGTGATTCTGTGCTCCTTCTCTTACTGGACCTCACATCTGCCTTTGATACAATCGACCACGAGATCCTCATTGCGAGGTTAGAGCAGTGGGTGGGCATCACTGGGTCAGCCCTCGAATGGTTTAGATCTTACCTCGCTGACAGGTCCTTTTGTGTCTCCATCAAAGATTTTAGTTCAGCCTCGGCAGCGCTTAAATGGGGGGTACCGCAAGGGTCCATCCTTGGTCCTCTTTTATTTTCTTTATACCTGCTGCCACTAGGTGCTATTTTCAGGAAACATAACAAACCTTTTCATTTCTACGCAGACGACTGCCAAATCTACTTCCCCCTCAGACTCAACGGTACTCGCTCTATTCAACCGTTACTGGACTGCCTGGCTGACATCAGAGATTGGATGGCTTTAAATTTCTTGAGTTTCAACGAGAAGAAATCTGAAGTTATGCTGTTTCCTCCCAATGACACAATCACCAACCACTGCATCGACCTATCCGTTCTGTCACCGTTAGTGAAACAAAGAGTCACTAATCTAGGAGTGATACTTGACCCTTCTCTGAAACTCAACAATCATGTAAATATGATTGTTAAATCCTGCTTTTTCCAGCTGAGGCGACTGTCTAAGCTGAAGCCCATATTGTCCAAAAATAACCTGGAGACAGTAATTCATGCATTCATTACATCCAGGCTCGACTATTGCAACTCACTCCTTTTTGGTATCAGTCAGACCTCCATAGCTAGACTCCAACTGGTCCAAAATGCAGCAGCCCGGTTTTTGACCAGCACAAGCAAAAGGGAGCACATTACGCCTGTTTTGGCCTCACTGCACTGGCTTCCGGTTCACCTTCAAATCAAATTCAAAATACTCTTGTATGTCTATAAATCACTAAACAGCTCTGCCCCCTCCTATCTTACTGATCTGCTCCAGCCGTATGTCCCACCACGTTCTCTCAGATCAGCAGACCAGTTGCTCCTCACAGTCCCAGGAACCCGTCTCAAGCGCAGAGGTGACAGGGCCTTCTCTGAAGCAGGCCCAAGACTTTGGAATGAGTTACCTCTGCTCGTTAGACAGGCCCCCTCCCTCACAGTTTTAAATCTCGCTTAAAAACACACTTCTATTCCCTGGCTTTCTGCACTGTGTGATCTGTGCTGAGTCTGTGTGCATCACACTGTGTTGGTCATGTTGCGGTTGTTGTTGTTATCCATTACTGTTTTTGTCGGTTTCTACTTTTTGGTGTCCTGTTATGTAATCTGTTGCTATGTGCTTGCTCTGTTTGTCCCTGTACAGCACTTTGGTGTGCTTTGTCACTGTTTAAAGTGCTTTATAAATAAATTGGTATGGTATGGTATTAGGCATGAATGGGAGAGCATTCCTATTTCTAAACTTGAGAAACTGGTCTCCTCTGTCCCCAGACGTCTGTGGAGTGTTGTAAGAAGAAGGGGGGATGCCACACAGTGGTAAAAATGGACTTGTCCCAACTTTTTTGGGATTTGTTGACGCCATGAAATTTGGAAACAGATTTTTCCCTTAAAATGATACATTCTCTCAGTTTAAACTTTTGATCTGTGATTTGTGTTCTATTCTGAATAAAATATTAGATGTTGGCACCTCCACATCATTGCATTCAGTTTTTATTCACAATTAGTTTAGTGTCCCAACTTTTTTGGAATCCGGTTTGTAGTTTTCAGCAGAGCCGTAGAGATACTGGTTATATACGGTTGTAATTCAGATTCTCTGCCCTTATTTAAATCTAACCTTAAAACTCACATTTTCAAACTTTCTTATTCTGTTTAATGTCATTATGTTTTCTGCCATTAATTGTGTTTGATTTTATTGATATCTGTCTTTTATTGTTTTTATCTTTGTACTTCTTGTTCGGTGACCTTGAGTGATTTGAAAGGTGCCTCCAAACAAAATTTATTATTATTACTATTATTATTATACCTAGTGTGCCATCTTTCTCCAACAGGCCAGTGAGTTGGTTCATCACAGTGTGTATGAGCACGCTCTTGGTCGCTGCCCTGATGCGAGGACAGTGTGAAAGGGTATTCCCCAGGCCGTCCAGCAGGGGTAACTCTTCAGGACAATAGACAGTCACCATGTTTGGAAGTGTCCTCTCCTCACTGCTAGGGTCCAGCAGCCAGCATGCAACCTGTGGAAGAAATCAGTCACATTTTTCTCTGATGCCTTCATCCTATGGCTTGTAGCTAAAGATTATCAAATTTATTCAAAATGCAGAAAGTACTGATCACTGAGAGAACTGCAGAGGTAATACTGTACATGTTTCAGAGTGTGAATGTGAAGATGTTAACGTATCGTGGAATCTAATATAATCCCCATAATCATTTATTTTATCTAATGATTATGCAGTCTTATTAAAAATTAAGCACATCTCACAAAAGTTCACTATTCTTAAAAAAATATTTTTGAACATTCAAACATTTGATCCTTTGAACAGTAACTACCCACAGATGAATGATAAATATTTAAACACAATAAGCTAGAAAAGTAGTTTTTCACTTATTTAATGAACAAAAATACCTGTCAACAAGTTTATAACATTGTTTAGTAAACAATAAGGCCCTTCAGTGTTTATTTTAAATCTCCACAGGACAAGTTTGTTTAATCTGGGCTTCGATTTATGTATTTTTGGTAACTTAGTATTTCTTCTTTTTAAAGTTATTTCATTTGATGCAGAATTCAGTGGAAGCAGCCCCGTCTGAAAGACAGCAAATCACTGCAGACCATAACACTTCTACCACCATGCTTTATTGTTGTAAAGTTCTTCTATTTAACTTTATTGTCTGTCTGCAGTAAACATGTCTGCGGTTACTTTGCTCAAACAACTCTATTTATAATGTCCAGTTTCAAACTGTAGTTCTGATCTGAGCTTCATTTTTTTAACCAACATTTTGTAAACTTCAACTTTCAGCTCCCTCCGTTTCAAGAAAACCTTTGGATTTAATTAATTTCTTGTAGGATCCTTAGGTGCTCACAACCTTATTTTTCTACAGGTGATAGGAAGCTATTGAACACATTCCCATGAAGACAACTATTTTATGGAGTTTCTTGTTTGTCATCACGCTGCTGGCAAAAACTAAATTTTAGTTCCATTATTTATTTGAATAAATTTTCTAATTTAAAAGAAAGTTGCTGAATATATCTAAAGCTTTAAGAAATATATAAAGGATTATATGCCTATATAGCCTTCTGTGAAGGCTGCACAGAAGACTGTTGGAATCAGTCTCCCCACCATCACAGACATCTACACCTCCAGATGCAGGAAGAGGGCCACCTGCATCATGAAGGACCCCACCCACCCAGCACACACACTTTTTGCCCCACTCCCCTCAGGAAGGAGGTTAAGGAGCATTAAGTGTAGAACCACTAGACTGAGGAACAGCTTCTACCCTGAGGCTGTTAGACTCATGAATCTCTAACTAGAATAATCACTGTGAAAAACCATATCATGTTGCTGCTGATCTGTTTCATGTTGCTGCTGATCTGTTTCAATGTTGATGTGTTCATGCGTGCACATCTGCTCACAGACTCATGTTCATGTTTGTGCTGATGTTCAATGTTTTATGTTATGAGTGCTTAGTGTATATTTAGTTGATGTTTTTCTTAGTTCATATCTTAGATGTTATTACTGTTTTTCTTATACATTTTATTGTTGGATGTAACTGGGACCCTGTGTACATAATTTCGCTCCACCACATGTACCACATGAGGTGCGAATGACAATAAAGAAACTCTGACTCTGATTATCTTCTATAAGTATTAGATGGAAGGATGGAGTGCACATGTAATCTAATTCTTTGTTTTCTCACCTTCAGGTCTTCACAGGTTCCCTCCAAGCTGATACCACAGCTCAGTACGAATGTCTTGTACACCTTGATGATGTCATATGTGACAACCACTCTTCCTTTGTCACCAGCTGATTGGTGGCTGAGACAGACCTTCACCTGCTCCAGCCTTTGACTTACTGGCAGCTCATCATCCAGTGGAGGAGGAGCCAGGCTGGAGCTCAGACCTGATGGGTACCAGACAAATTTAACAACAGAAACCCTTTGAAAAGTGTGACCCTACATGTATTAGTATCTGTTGTTTGTCAGTACCTTTGTTCTGCTCCTGCTGCAGACAGATGTAGTATGCATCTCTTGATCCCCAGCAGACAGACAGCCCGATCAAAACGAGATCTTCATCGTCTCTTATTGGAAACCCATCAGTCAGGTTAGGCTTCGGATGAGATGCTGATGCTGCGCAAGCAAACAGAAAAAGAGACAACATTCAACATTTTATAATCTGTGTTGCACAAAAAGACATCTGCACATACAGTACAGGTCAGATAATGGTATAAAAGCTTGGCAAAGTTGTAAATACAATAATGTTGCAACATCTGTATTAATGTTTTGGTTACCTCTCTTATGCTTCCCTCCTATCCCCCCCTCAGACTGCTGATTGTGCTCTCTCTTCTCACAGGCCAAAGCGATAGCAAACCGCTCCTTCTTTTTCCATTCTTCAATGAACGTATCGAAGAGGCACCTATCGCTCGCCACATCTATAATGGAGAACGTCCCAGAGTTGCTACAACAGAGTGAAGCATCCTGGGACAGCTGCAGGGTGAAACCTTCAAGACTCAGGGGCGACTCTGTGTCAGAGGGAGGCTCTGGCTGGGGGGAGGAGTGTGGAGGGGATGTATGCTCTGTGGGACAATGAAGGTCCTGGCTGGTTTGTAGACTCACATGTGTGGCGGCTCTCAGTTCCTTTATCATCACCCTGTTTGCTTCCGGTTTATTGACAGAAGCACAAGCAGCGTCGGAGACGTGATCATAGTTTCCTGTTTGATTTCTTTTGGCTGCTGTTTTATCTTGAAAAGCGTTTGAGGAAGTTGTGACAGGTGACTGCACAGAGGTGGTCAGCTTTACTCTCGGAGTGACTGGTGGTGTTTCTTGAGTTGGGGGAATGAGGTCTCCAGCAGAGCCCGGTCTCTCTGGCGTATTCTCATTTCTTGAAATTCGTCCCTCGTGGAAGTCGTTTTTGGCAGCATCAGATTGTTGGGACATTTTTCTTTTTCTACCCAGTTGCATCTCTGGCTGTGGTAACGTTGGAACATCTGATGTATTTGAGGCATCAGCTTGTGTCTGATGGTATTCTGGCTGGTCAGACATACTGGGCCAGCGGTCAAAGATATCTTGTAAACCAGGGCTGCAATAAAGAGAACTTTCACATTCTTTTTGGACATGTGGATGTGTAAAAACATCATTATTTGAAAACAAAGCACATTCTTTTGTTTGTTTCTCAAAGTGTATTGCAGTGTCACCCTTTTCACAAATCATTTTCTGCCTCCCACTTGGTTCAGAATCGTTACTATTCAGAGCTTTTCTAGTGTGAGCTTGATGATTATCAGCTTTCTCCTTGTCACACTCATTTTGCACGGTAGCAGTAAGTAGTGGTGGTACGTGACCGTGTCCAAGCTGTGAAACTACCAGTGGTTCGTCACCACTATCACAGTCTTTGCTTGGCTGCTGCAGCTCTTGCTCACTCTCAGTTCTCTTCATGGGTCTCAGCAAACTCTGCCTATCCAGGAAGTGTTCACCCACCAAGAGGGAGTCCCCCCACTCTGACAGGTTCAAGAAGGACTCTCCCCATTGGACTGCCTCCTGCTCCTCGGCTTCTTGGTTAGTAAGACGCTTGCTGCGTCGTCTCTGCTGGATCAGTGGAAGAGGACGATCCATTGCAACCTCCTGGCTTGAAGACTGTTCCTCATCTGGTTGGTCAGGTACCTGGTTTGGTCTCAGAGCTCCCAGGAGAGGGCTGTCATACATGCTGTCGAACAGGAAGCTGCTGCTTCTGTTAGGACTCTCAGCAGCTGGATTAGCATCTGGGATCTGATCATCACACACATCTTTATCTTGGTCGTTACAACAACCAGCTGGATTAGAGGTCATCTGTGTGAACAGCATAGCAGATTAAAGAAGGTCAACAATATTTATATTCATGGTTATTTTATTAAACCAGACTAAAATCACTTACATGGTGGTTGGTGTTGAGGATGAACTCCAACTGGCTATCTGTGAAAGAAGTACTGAATCTTGGACACATGATGTTGAAGCCTTCTAGTTCATTTCTGCTCCCATCTGTGGTCCCTGCTAGCTCTACATCTGCTATGACCATTTCCTCATCACTCCCCGTCTTCATCTCCACCAGCTGATCTTTACCTTCATCCCTGTAAGTCTGCTGTGCTATTATTCTTTCTGTCTGAGTGTCCAGGTTGAAGCTGTCGCCAAAACTTTCTCCTTCCATGTTCAATTCTTCCTCAGCTTCTTCGTCTGTCTTATTGCCTGCATACAGCTCAGGGGAGGAAAATTTATCCACCTCTCTGGCCTCGATTCTCCTTCTCTTGGCCTCGGGGGTGAACAAGGGGACAAAGGCAGGGGAAACAGACGGAGGAGAGTTTATCATATCTGCATCTGTAGGTGTAGAAACAGCACAAGGGTTTTCCTGAACAAGGGCAGGTGCAGAGGCTGTAGTTTCCATGTCTGATCTTTCAGTAAGCTCTACATTTTCTTGTAGGTCTTTACTTGTTTGTATAGACTGAAGGACTTTACTTAATGCTCTGGAGTGCTTCAGTCTCCCTGGGTGCAGAGGAGATACAGTAAGCTTTGTGAGGGACTCTTCTTTTTCTGTGCTTGTAGACGCACTTTGTTGTTGTTCTAAACAAGATACTGGGGCTCTGAAACATGGAGGTGCTGCTGGAGAAAGTAGTGGTTGAGGAGGTGGAGGCATATGAGGTAGAGGGCTGGAAACAATATCATCCAACTCCTGGGTTAGGTTTCTTTCAACAGCATCATATTTAGACTTCTCTGGTCTGATCGATGCACTTCTTTTACTCGTCTCTCCTGCCTTTGGCCTGATTGTGTTGCAGTCTTCCTGTTTTAACTCTTCTTTCTTTGTGTTTCCTTTGGAATTTTCCTTGTTGCTTACAACTGATTTATTTGTCCATGTCTCTGTGTTTTCTTCGTCTCTTTCAACCAGAAATTCACTGTTTGTTTGTCTGGTTTTTGGTTCAGTCGTGTTTAGATTTCTTGTGTCTTCTTCTCCGTCTTTCCTATCAACCATCCTCTTGTCACTGTTTTCATCTCTATTAATCTCCTCTCTGTGCACCTCAGTGACTCTGCTCTTCTTCTGCGCTACAGCCCTGTCTGCCCGTAAGTCATGTGGGCTGATATACGAGACAGATGAGGTGATTGAGTCTCCACTGCCATGATCATTGGGGCTGCACGTAGGAGGACACCCTGGAGGAAGTGCAGCTAGATCCCACTTGACTCCCAGTTGAGCCAAGTCTTCCCGAAGCAGGAGCCTCGCCTCAGACACAATTTCGACAGCCGCTTCCTGCTCTGTTAGAGCCCGTCCACCGGTGACCCATACGCAGCGCAGGTTTCGTCTCTCTGCCGCCTCCATCTCGCTCTCATCCACCGCACGTTTAGAGCTGATAATCCCAACGAAACAAAAGTCACTTTAGATTCATGGTCTTTGTACAGTTTCATTGTGAGCTAACTGAAATATATTTAAGGGAGTTTTAAAAAAAACTGTTGCTACATGCTACACATGCTATATATATATATATATATATAT